TTCCAAAATCCAAATCGAATGCTTGAAAGGTAAAACAGAAGTGTGCAATCAGAGATGATAGATACTATTGCATGAGTATATATAGGCCATGTGTCAACTCTTCGATTGATAATACGCCTCGAAATAAACACCCACTGGCTTGGGAAAGCTATTTTCCCTCTTAATAAATGCCTGTCCCCTTGGGAAAATGTTTTCAATTTCCCTCTTAGTCTTAATAAAAGCCAATGGCATTTATTTTGAGTTCTTACTAATAAAGGCCCTGTGCAAAATAAATGCTCAGTGGGCCTATATGTTCGTTGAATTTAAAATTTAAAATTTCCCCTTCTACTCAATTTTTATAAATGTTTTATGCATCAGTATGTTGCATTTGGAGACACAAATAAACTCTTAAAAGGAAAATATTTTCTCTTTAGTATGTTAACTTTGTCTACAAATGCAACATATTAATGTGAAAACATTATTAAAAAAAATGGAAGGAACTGAAAATCAGGAAAACATTTTTGAAAAAAAATGTTGATGGGGTCTTTGCACCTTCCCTGTCTCAATCTCCAATTTTTTTTATCATCTGTATGAGTACTTTTCCTTTAGATAATGCATTGGCCTAACATACACACCTTACATTTTCAGAAAATTTCTGCAATTCAACATATGACCGTCTAAATTCTGTTGCGAAACCTTTAGTATTCTTTCAAGAAATTTCCTGCTTACATGAAAGTATTTTACATTCTGTTTTTTTTTAATGTAACATAATGGCTGATACCAATATTGTTCAAAGTTGTATATGTTTACACTATGGAACTAATCATTCTTTGAATTGAGTTCGATTCCTGAACAACTGGATATTTGACTAAACATTCCTTGGATTTGATTTGGTTTGATGAAGAGAAATCTTGACTGACAAAAATGCAGCTGATAACTAACAGATTTTCCCAAACAGAAAATATAAAAAAAATTTAAAGTGAGCACTTGATTTCAATAGTTTAGTTTCACCTATGCTTTTGAAGCAGGTGATAGCTGATAGGTGTCATGTAATGGTATAGCAATAATTAAAGGTAAGAAGGTACTGTTTCATTCATATTTCTTGGTTTTAAAAACATTTAATCAAATAAGTTGGAAATTTTTTTGAGAAATGATATGATGGTGAAAGAAATAGATACAAAATTATAAAAAATTTATAATTTGCGAAAATTGATATCCGCAAAATTTCAAAATTGCAAAATTGTGAAAGATAACAGCATCAAATATTAGTGGCAGTACAGTATTTGCATGTGAAATAATTATGATATATTAATATAATAATATAATAATTGATGAAACAATTGCAATGAACTGTTTTGATTAGCCAAGGCCAGAGCATTGGAATTTGAACTAAAGTTGAGTATAATGTTATTGTATAAATTAAAAAAATAATTATAGAGACTTCTTACAAAGTTGATCTTCATTTCAAATAGCTGAGAATATTTCCCAAAATAGATTGACTAGGCCTTCAGATTTTTTTGAATTTCAGTATTACTATTACTCATATAGTAAAACCTGTCTAATCCAAATGCCACCGTGCAGTTAAAAACATTCAGATTGGGAGGTGTTCGTAATCACAATAGATTATAATTATATCATTGATAATTTAGAGTTTATTCAAAGATGGCAGCAGCATTCTCAGAACCTAACAATCAGAATTCATTAATCTTTTGTTCACGTTAGTTATTTAAACTTTATATTCATATATAGATGGCAGTTCTTAAATATATGATAGACACCAATAATTCAACATCATAATTTAACCTTTTCCATTAAATATACCCTGTATCAAGCACAGAAACGTATTTACACCCTTTACTAAAATGGCAACCCCTGTATCACGCACTTGTAGCATTACTAAATTATTTATCAATGTCAAACAGTGTTCAATGCAGGGTCAATTTATAATGGGAATGGAAATTAAACATATTGCACTGTACTTAATAGTCTTAATGGTTAATAAATATACAGGGTGTCCAGTGTCAAACAGTGTTCGATGCATGACTGATGGGCCAATTTACAATGGGAATGGATAAATATATAATGTACTGTACTTTCATTTAGTCTTAAATGGTTTATAAATATACAGGGTGTCCAATATCAAACAGTGTTCAATGCATGACTGATGGGCCAATTTACAATGGGAATGGATATTATATAGTATAATGTACTGTACTTTCATTTAGTCTTAAATGGTTTATAAATATACAGAGTGTACAATAAGTAATGATATTAGGTCTCCCATATTGTCAAATCCGAAACAATATTGCTGATATATTCAGTATGCCCTAGTAACATAAAAATTAATAAAAAGTTTTCTTAACTTTCCGACAATCAGACATATATAAGCATTATGTCATGATGCCGTTAATAAATAATAATATAAACTGCCAATGATAATATTACAACTTTGTTCAATTTATGTTTCCTTAGTCAATACATTAGTACAAATTGTCAATTTCGTTCAAATATTTGCAAAAGGAGCATTCAAAGACCCTTTCCAATCATTTAATTTCACTTGTTTTAGTTAGAATTCGGCTCTGGGACTCGGGATCGCACCTATCGCATATTCACGAGTGAATATCAGATATTCACTGACACCAGTAACTTAGAAATGTAGATTGAATATGCCATGTTCACAAGTATCGCAAATTCACCAATATTGTACATACTGCATATCACAGTTGGGTAGATTCAATATAAATTCAATGTTTTAAAGTCATGAAAATTGAAACATGTTTTCTTGTATTAACTGACAATGATATCTTTTATAAACATATTTCATATTATAAAATCATTTAACTCAGAAGGTTAGTTTCTTTGAAACATAGGATCAAATACTAGGCTAAGGGCTGATATGAAAAAATCACTCCACCCTGTTGGGAATTGGACCCACGACCTCCCAGTTAGATCTCAGTCTCTCAGATGCTAAATTTTTTTGTTGTTCAAGTTTGGGGGAACTTTTTCTGTCTGTCCATTCTGATCCTTGTATACCTTGATGGTTTTTCATGATCATGTCTTCCATTGCCTGACATGTTATCTGACCTGAACGAGTCATCTGAAGGTGAAATTGTTAACTACTTATTAGCAACCTTGGACAATCATCAATGCAATTATCAAATAGTGTTAATAGCGTTGACGCATTATCAGTTAATGTTCTTGGAAAGCATGAATGTGATTACTGGAAATCAAAAGAACAATAGCTGAAATGAGGTGTAATATAACCCCATTCTAAATAAATTACATCATGGATATCCCTATCACACTAAAAGCATCTCCTCATTTAATTCCTTGTAATGCTCTAATCAAGGGGATACTCTCTATAATAATCATGATGTATACAGAATTACAAGCAAAATGTCAATGACCGTGTATTAATGAATGACTATCATGATGCTAGTATTGATTATGTCATGTTGCCAGGATAAATCCACTTAGAGTTAGTGCTAGTGTCAAAAGCAAATGTTATATTGTCACCTGTATAGGATTGAGCTTAAGCATCATTCCAAGATATTGGACAGGGCTCTCCAGGAAGTATTTAGGGTGTGGGATAACCGTTCAATCATGATAAATCATGAAGTTTATACTTTTTACATGCTATTATTGTGTATTCAGTCAAGTTTAGACTGTGGAAACAATCATGATTTACCAAAAGGTTGTGGTGGGAGCTGAATAGACTCTGGTGCAGCGCCACAGTCTAAAAGTCTAGCAAGAGCCCTGTTGAATGTGACTTTATTGAAAAGAGATGAATTGGTACGATGAGCCAAGAATCTATCTCCTCTCGTTTTTATCAAATATTTCAGACATTTGAAAATGAAGGACCCACGGTCCTGTGCTCACACAGTTTGGAACCTTCAGAGGAACATATATCCTGACTTTCAAACAAAAATTTTGATTTGGATTTGTAGTCTCGAACTTTGAGAAACTTAGATAGCAAAGTTGTGTGACCTAGTTTGATGACCTTTGACCTTGAAAATTTTACTTATTCTTTTGTGATTAAGCTGACCAAAATTTACATCCAAAAATCAATTTGAAAAATCAAGTAAAGGTCAAATCCCTAAACTAATGTCAGATTTGAACTCCTGGCAACTTGTAGATGATTTTCAAAAAAAGATTTGGTCAAATTGAAGCAAGTTGAAAAATAACTTATTTTTACTGTTTTTTTACGTCAAATATCTAAAAATTTGATGCTGACATATATTGAGCAAAATGTAGGAAAGCTTAAATCTAGTAATGATGTAATTCATTGCAAGAAATGATCAAGTATAAGGCAAACTTTGAGAAACTTGTCAATCACAAAACCTGCCATTGACTTTATACATGAGAAAGTTTCCTGAAAATGACTAAGTCCTACTTTTTGTCAAATTTTATAGAGTAAACACCAAAAACTGTAATTCTCGGAGCTTTGAAATCTTCAGAGGACATAAGTTGCATATACAGCAACTACTAAAAGTTATTTGAAAGTTCTACTTCAACAAAGTGTCTAGTATTTACAGAAAATTTGACTTTTTGACGTCAAAATCCGCAATTTCTCGGAAACCGGGCGAACTTGGGAAATGGCGATGATAGGTCAAATAGGCATTATGGATATGCATAAAATGAATGTGGATATGACTCAATCCGAATAGCAGTTTTAACGGACGGACGGACCGACCAACGGACGGACGGACGCCTGGTCAATCCCATAGGCTCACTGTGTGAGCCAAAAATCATATGCAACAATAAGACATGAGCAAGCAAGTGTCACATCCTGCTATTTGTTACAGACACTGAACACCAACCGTTGCTACAGAAAAGCTTGAGACAGTGTGGTGATGACAGAAAAAATCATGAAAATTGAATATTTCAAAAAGGTAAACCAAGTCTTTATAGTTTTGTGGTTGCAAACACGAAGTATCCAACGTACTACAATATATTCAATATTCATGTTTACACATATTCATGTGTCAGATTTAATGGTTGACAGTTTACTATTGACTTACCGCCTATCATTGCCGACAACATCAAGAAAGCCTACTTCAGGGGATGCATCTGTTCTGTACTTGCCATGAGACACTTGCTTCGTGAAGGCAACTAGTTTTAACTTGTCTTTATATGTTAGATGAATCGCTTTGCCATCCTTTTCTAAAATATAAAATAGAGCTTCATTATTCACTGTAGTTTTGGTGATTAAACTTCTTCTTTTTCAGACCATTTAATTCTAATAAGAGCCCATATATGAAAGAAGTCAAAAATCCCAAGGAACGTCATGCATGGCAATTTTTCCTGCCAAAAATGCCTCATTTGCAGCATCAAAACGAAGTAACAGCATATTTTTACAATAATGATATGTGTTGTTATTGGAGATATTACGGTAAAGATCGCTAAAATAAAGCAAGGATCATGCAAGAATCTAACTTTAGACAATGTTGACAGTGATAAAAGAAATTCCCAATCAATTCCTGTCCTAATTTTAGTTTCTAGGCTTGTAATTAGCAATACGATGCACAGTAGTCATTCTCATTTGTATGCTTTGTATTTCACTCGCAAGTGAACTATGTTTAAGTATCAGACTTTGGCGAAAAAGCAATAAATAGGCATAAAAATAAAACAATCCATGATTTCTGTTGTTATTTCTGGGCAGCCATTTAAAATGTAGGGTGAATCTCGAAGGCCCTGAGGCCTAATTTGAGAGAAGGAAGTCGATCAACACAAAAAAAGAGAATTTGAAAACAGGCGCTAAAACTTCACTAAAGTATACCATACTACAGGCAATGACATACTTTTTTATTCATAGGGAAATAACTTATTTGTGAGTTCCGAATGTTGATCTGGAAGCATTGCGTCGACATGGGTGTCGCAGAAAGCATTCCACTGACAATTGACCATTCTGACATTCGATGTCAGCTCTACCTATATGAAATTTGAAAAACACCCTCTGAGGGAAAGGTATCTGATAGATCTACTGTAGATCTAGTCATGAAGATTCCAAAACCAAGAGGTATTTCATCTTGAAAAAGAAGTGAGCTACACAGCTTTCTTAAAATAGTGGCTTTTGCAAATTTGTTGTAAAATGAGAGTCTGCACCACAAGCATCGGGACAGAGATATATCCCTTCACTCAGTCTATGAACCTAGTAAATAATATTATTTAGTTTTAATACATATAAACTGAGTGGGAGTATCTCTGTTCTGATGCATGTGGTCTGCACTCTCCTGGTCGATAAATTCGGACGATCCATAATCCAATCCAGATAAATTTCGGCCATGGTAATGATGCATTGTGGGATTAATCCAAAAATCGGTAAATTGGTACAAACCTGGGATTATCTAAGGATAAATCTCAATCTACCTCTTGAGGTAGATTACTTTTTTCGAGGTCTCCTCTGCCGAAGGCAGCGCAAAGTAGGAGCGTAGCGACTACTTTGCGGGAGACCTCGAACCATTGATCACGTTTGCTCCTGTAATTATTCACTTCTTCACCTCTTTAAAATGTGATTTCAATCAGTTGATCAAATTTTCGGACTTTGACCTCTATTTCAAATATTAATATTTATAAGAAAAAATACTGACTCATTATTATATTTTTAAAAGTCTTTCAAATAAAGTGAAATGAAGCCAAAATCAGCTAAAATTATGCAATGTCGTAAAATGGCGTGACTGGAATATGATGCAATCACCTGTGACTTCAGACACGTATTGCCACATTGACAACTAAACAAACAATTAATGTAGACTTCACTGATTGGTTTAAAGATTCTTCGCATCATTTGTGACGTCATAAACATGGTTCCCAACCAGCAACTAAACCGATACAAATAGGCATATAAAGTGCTGATATATAATAATACAGGGTGCGTTTTCAAACTTAACAGAGTGCTCCTACCAAAATGAATTTGCCTACATACCCCTGAAACTCTTATCTGATAGATAGAATGCACAAATATGCAAGAATGCTATTATAGGTAAAAAGTTCTCTTGAAATTTCGAAGTGATTTTACCTGTTAATTTTGTCCATTTTACGCCATTTTTGCGGAAGTTACACTGAAATGCAAACTCCAAGAAACGAAACGAAATCACTAGAAAAAAACATGGCACACATTGTGCGCATGTGCAGCAAAGTTTAGACCAATCAGATTACTTAATTATTTTGCGCACGTGAATTATTTGCTTCTGAGCACTTACAAGCTTACAACAATAAACAAACCTGGCAGAGACTACCCTTAGCCTACTTCATTTTGGCGAAATTTCAGCTCAAACTCATGACAAATGCATTATGCATACGCTGGTGTGAAGCCTTGGAGACACTCAATTTGGTAAATATGATTTAAGGGGTATACTTTTCTGCAGTTTGTGGGAGTTTAGGACATTAAATGTTAAAATTCAAGAAAATATGCCAATTAAACGACTGATCAATTAATATATACCAGCACTGTAGGTTCGTTTTACTCACTTCGAGAGCCATGTTAGATTTTGAAACTTATGGCTCTCAAACGGAGAAGTGAACAGCTGATCAATAGTGACCTTTGAAATTGAATTAAGTCGATCCGCGGCTTACTTTTGGTCTCTAACTGTGTCTTACATCAGTATCATCAATCCGTGTAAGTATTGGAGCGCTGGAGTACTTCTTTTTCGATCAAGACTTAAGCTTTTTGCCGACGACAGCCTTTTATTCATGACAGTCGAAAGCAAGCAAGATGCATTAACACTACAGGAGAATCTTGATAAACTGGTCTCCTGGGCATCAACATGGCAAATGAAATTCCATCCATCAAAATGCTATGTGCTAAATATTCACAAAGGTAAATCCCCTATCATGCACAATTACACCATGCTAGGGGAAAACCTTAAGTCGGTAACACACATCCCATACCTAGGAATTGACATCACAAATAACTTACGCTGGACTACACATATTCAAACTATTGTATCCAAAGCCAATAAGGTGCTTGGATTTCTCAGGCGCAACCTCCATCAATGCCCTGAAAAAGTGAAGGCTCAGGCGTATAAGTCACTAGTCCGGCCTAATTTAGAGTATGCCAGCTCGGCATGGGATCCATACCGACAAAAAGATATTGATATGTTGGAACAGGTTCAGAGAAGAGCAGCCAGGTTTGTAACCAAATGTCACTCAAGGGAACCAGGCTGCGTCACCAAAGCTCTTCAAGACCTACAGTGGGAGCCACTGAAGGAGCGTCGAGAGGCTGCTAGAGTTTTCCTTTTCTACAAAGGAAAGCAGAACCTAGCAGCCATCGATGTGCCTCCATACTTCCGCCAACAGATCAATACCAACACCAGGTTGTATCATCCTTCTAAGTTCATACAACCATCAACTAGAACGGATGCATACAAATTTAGCTATTTCCCTAGGACAATAGCTAAATGGAACACTCTACCTGGTGACATCTTAGACTGTGACAGTCTAAGTAGTTTTAAATCATCATACTATGCCTATGTCAATAACTGCAATTAAATAGATGTGTTTTTAATATAGATCTATGTTTTAATGTAAAGGGTCCCCAGTGCACAGCAACAAGCCTGCACTACTGGTAAAGAGGGGTGATGTCAACGCGGTAGCCTGACAGTCTCCCCAGGTAAAATGAGTTGTAAACCATAGATCTATTTTTAAATGTTAAGGTTTTAAATTATATTCTATTAAAATTCTATCACTGTTAAATTGTATATCTGCTTTATATGGGCTTATTAGCCTTTTGCAGATTATTGACATAGACATATCAAAATCCAAATAGCTTTCGCAGGAAGTAAGGTTCGTTCAGTGCAACGCTCTTGAATCAGTTATAAACAGGATTATCAACAGATATAAGAGAGGGTCGGGCATTTTTTTGACTTGGAGACCTCGACTCGAGGAGTTTGCTGCATTTTCTTGTTGGATAAATTTATCCGAATTCCAATGCAAATCGAAATTGGATAAATCTTGGGGATTTCACTCATAATCCTCGGATCGTACGAATTCACCAAATATTTATTGGATTGGGCTAGTAATCCAAGATTTATCCCAAAAGATAAATCTATCCGGATTGGATTGAGGAACGTACGAATTTACGGCCCCTGACGTAGGGCTGCAATTTCAGAGTCGAGTGTAAAAAAAAATTAGACTACAGTCGGTTTCATGGTAAAAATAGCAAGAACTTAACTTCGACATATAAGTGTTACCTGGTGAATGGGACCCTCACGTGCCTTCCCAATGGTAGTAAACGAACCCTAGTGTAACTACATCAGCTTATCTTTCCGTCCGATCAACAATAAGTACAGTTATACAAGAAATGTAAACTAAGCGAAAATATTCCCCAAAATTTTCCGAAAGGCATTCATTTCCGGAAGTTATGATACGTTATGGTGTCACTACGGTAAATTAATGAAAAAAATCACAAAATTCAAGTTCTGGTGTGAGGTTCCATATCCATCCGCCAAAAGGTATGACTATATAGTCCATTTAAAAATGTGTGGTTTTGTTCTAAATAACGCCATAGTTGGCTTCTTGGGTACCTAGTATGCCACTATTTGGTATCAAAATAAAGAGGATGAGTTCTACTTTCATTTGAATTACGAAAATAGCGATGTAGGTCAAAATAGTTCCGGCGTGAGCATGTTTACTACGCGTATGCCCGTCATCTCAGAATTGAGGAAATGGTAGCAAACGCGAGTTACAATAAATGGACGCTGATATCTCAAAAAGTAACCTGACTCCCTATAATTTAATGTATATCAATCGAAGTCCTATATGAACAGGTACATTTTGGTATATAACACCATGGGGGGTAAGCGTTTTATAGCTGATCACGAACGCCATTTGTGCAAAGTATTGTTCTGAATTTTCGAATTTGCTGCTGGATTACGGTACTCACACCTCTGGGGTACATATTGCCATTTTCGAATGAATTAGCCCATACAATGACTATATTTCTGCAATCCCCTATACATAACCTTCATCTTGACACTATATTAATGATGCCCCAGACAAGATAAGAAACTCAATCAAAATTTTCGCAGATGACACCAAACTCTATGGGGAATGTGTCAGTGCCGAACAGCGAGAGAGCCTTCACCAAGATATTGACACTCTAGTTAACTGGTCAAATGATTGGCAATTAAAGTTCAATCAAAAAAAAGTGTAAAGTTTTACACTAAGTTGGTAAAAACGTAAACCAACAATACAACCTAGATGGTACCATGATAGAGTCAGTGACAGAACAGAAAGACCTAGGATTCACCATAGACAAAGAACTAAAATTCAAACAACACATCAGTCAAACTGCAAAAAAAGCAAATAGTAAATTAGGAATTATCAAGAGAAGTTTTAGTCACACCAAGGAGATCATAGTGCCACTCTACAAATCTATGATTAGACCTATATTACACTATGGCAACATTATATGGCACCCAAGACTCTTAGAAGAGGAGTGAAAATAGAACAGATACAGAGAAGAGCTACCAAATAATACCAGATTTGAAGAATAAGCCATATCAAACGAGGCTTAAAGAGCTAAAGCTCCATTCCCTCTTCTACAGACGTAGACGAGGAGACAGGTTTATAAAATTATTAATGGAATTTACACTAAAGAGCATAGCTCATTTTTTACCAAGGCCACCACAACCACTAGAGGGCACTCCCTGAAAATGTACAAACACCACTGTAACACCACCCTTCGACAGGACACCTTTAGCAACTGAATTATAGAAGACTGGAACAGCCACTCAGAGAAGGTAGTGACCGCCCATAGTGTAGATCAGTTATAAGGGAGACTAGACAAACTTTGGCTAAATTATCACTATGATATAGTTTAATATCTATTGCATACATTTAAATTAAGATCTGAGCAACTACAGGACTTTTCAAGACCAATCAGCTCAGAATTTGATGATAATGATGATGTGTCTCGTGGTGAAGAAAAGCTATCAAACATTGTCTGAAGAGCAGATTTATCTCCGTAATTCAACTTTTAGCATGGCGACCTTGACCTTGAAAAATATAGCCATTTTGGCGATAATAGGTGATTCAAAAGTAAAAATTATTGCCTTTTCGTAGTTTTACTTTGACCAAGCCTAGAAAAAAATTGAAGTGGTAAACCTACCCCCATTTTTTAACATTTTTGTTGTCTAGAAGTGTTCCAGATGATATCAAAGTTTAAGAAAATTTGTATATCTAGAAATATTTTTGAAATTAGTGCCATTATGGTTGGTTTGGGTGCTTTTTTGCCCTCATTTTTAGCCCATTTCTATGGTTGCCATGGCAACTATTAGGCTTGGGTAACTATGTCAACTTGATTTTTCAAGGACATCTGCCTGATAGTAGTTGGGCCAAGTTTCATGGGAAACGGGCCTTATTTGATATGCTGGCAGTGAGGTTGATTGTGGCAAGTAGTAAAACGACAAAACAATGGTGGAGTCATACCCGATGCTTGGATGTTCACATTTCACGCATGTTCGGTAATATAACGTATCATAACTTACGGAGATGACATGCCTTTAGGAAATCTTTTTGGAATATTTTCACTTCGTTTACATTTCTTGTAAAACTGTACTTATTGTTGATCGGACGGAAAGATAAGCTGATGTAGTTACACTAGGGTTCGTTAGCTACCATTGGGAAGGCACGTGAGGGTCCCATTCATCAGGTAACACTTATATGTCGAAGTTAAGTTCTTGCTATTTTTACCATGAAACCGACTGTAGTGCTTATTTTTATATTTTTTTCAATTTACCTTTATAAAACGTTAATGCTAGTTTGTATAATTCCTCCAGATCAAAGCCCCATCTTATGGAAAATGTTTCGATGTGATCATGGGTTGAGTTTGCCACTGGTTTTGTCTCATCAATCACGATTGAATTTACTTTCGTCTCCAAATTTTCTGTCGCCATTTTTGTACACCGTGGAATGAGGCCCCTTCAAATATTAGCAATATGTTTGGTATATTGTATACCTCTTATACAAACTAAATGCAGCTTACACCCATACATATCAAAGCTTTTTGGATAGATTTAATATTTTGAAAAGTACCAGACGTAACAAAATGTAAAAACGCATAGTTTTATGAAAATATTGATAGGAATAAGCTGTGCAGATTTTATGCTTATTAGAAAAGGTCTTTGACCTACTTTCATAAACAGGAAATCACGTGGTTTTCAAAATAACAACAAGTCCACGTGTTTGAAAATGCCGGTTATTGGAGAGGATCTAAAATGTAGAAAAAGAAACTATACTGTCCACAGAGAGCTTTTTACAAATGATTGTATGGTAAAAATGTATATTTAACTCCAGAAATTAAATATACATTTTTACGATACAAATCATATGTAAAAAGCTCTCTGTGATACTGTCAACGAAGGAACTATTATTTAGGTAGTAAGGTAGTGCACCATTTTTAAACTAGAATGTTTTAAACCTTACACAGTTCTACTCGTTGTAACTTTTACTCAACATAGAAGTAGACTCCATGAATTTAGTGGGGAACAAAAATAAACCTCATCCATCAAAATTACACTCAAATTTTTTATTCTGTGAACCAGTTCATATGGTTAAATAACGAAATAATGAAATGTTACCATGTGTCTACTTAGCAGTTTGTTCTATGTCATCAATCTGTTGCAAGACTAACGCCTGGCGTAACCGTCACCATGTTATTCAGTGCAAGTGTTATTTAGCGCAAGGATCCTGCCATGACCGTGGTAATGTTATCGTGAAAGCCTGGTATAACCGCGACAATGCTGTATTATATTGCAATGCCTGCCATGACCGTGACAATGTAATATAGTTCTGCAAGGCTTGGCATGACCGTGACAATGTAATATAGTACTGCAAGGCCTGGCATGACCTTGACAATGTAATATACTGGGGTTTTCGGAAAAGACCGACCCCACCGACCACCGACCGGTCGGTGTTTTCCACTGGTAGCCTCAAAACAGGGTTTGAAGAAAATGTGTAAAAGACCGACCATATCATGTAAAAGACCGAATATATTTGTAGCCTTAGAATATTGATAATTTGATTTTGAATGTCAATCGTTGGACTAGGCAACTTTTTTTACCGATTTTGTACCTTGCAACGAATGGCAAGCAAACAAATTGGTCATGACCATCTCCTCTCGATTAATTGCCCTGCCTTAGGTCCTAACCTATCATGAACCAACCTATCGTTTCTACGGGAATCTAGGTACGAAAAATTTCGAACGGAATGCGTGACATATACGTAATTCGCGTGAAAAGTCCGAACGAAATGCGTACATTTTTTTCCGTCGTTCGTATTTTTGCTGTGTAGACGATCTTTTTTATAAATTTTTCTACTGAAATATTTTTGCTTGACAATTACCAGGTAAAATGCGTATATTGCGTGACATTTTCTGTCACGCAACAATAACTGGCGTGACTTCAAATTCTTCAGCAAATGCGTGACAAATACGCAAATTGCGGGACAGTTGACAGGCCTGCATTAATATCCACATTCGTTTATAAACCACAATAGCCTAAAGGCTACGGTCGCGCCAGGCTTTCACGATAACACTTCCAGGATCATGACAGGCCTTGCAATATAATACAGCATTATCACGGTTATACCAGCCTGTCACGGTTATACCAGGCTTACACGATAACACTACCACGGTCATGGCAGGATCCTTGCACTACTTAAAAACACTGATTAACATGGCGATGGTTGTGGCAGGCGTAAGTCTTGCAATACATGTAGATAGCATGTGATCCATCCTGCTAGGTTACATTGTGGAACTCCGCCAAACACGACACTGAAGGCAACAGCATATCGGTCTTGATCTTAGCAGAATTTTTGGAAATTTAGATCGTCCATTTTGCAAGGTCACATGACTGATCATGTGTCAAGTCATTGAAACTGAGTGTGGTAGTGTTACAGGAGAAATTGATTCAGATATCTCACAATACCAAGAAGGGTGTAGTGATAAAGCATTCTGATATACTGGGTTTCGGACAACTGGGTTGATCCCGTAAAGATCAATGAAAGTGAGTTTATTACGTTTACATCAATAAGAATAATCCAACCGGACCATTAAAGGCAAATCCAAAACAACTAAGAGTGTCATATATATATTCTATGGCCACACTCAGTGAATGAAAGTAGCACTTTTAGTTTTATATTACTGTCTAATAGATGGCATTTTAACCTGAACAAAAAGACAAGTACAGTAAATAAATCCGGGGACTACTGATTGAACACTCCCTTAGCAAAATTCCATATTACATTTTGCGTTAATATTCATTTATAATTGTTAAATGTGATCAATTTCTGAAATGTATTTTTCGAATTGTCCATTTTTGTCTGTAGTCAAACTTTTCTGTGAAATGAAATTGTTGTGTTCATAAGGTAAGTATGCTTGCTTTGATCCCATTGTTTAGGAGCAACATCACAGATACATAAAGTGCTCTGGCCCCGCTGGCCCAAATTGGACTACAATTTAATACTGTATCTCCATGTTATGGGCCACAAGATATCTCAGATAAGAAATAAGGCGCAGAGACTAGGTTTAACTTGTTTTAACTAACAGGCTGCAAGGTTGCCATGGAAATTATAGCATGTAGTAGTAGCATTTGTCATTTCTGCGACTGCCTTGATATTTGTCAAAACCTAGCTACAATCACCAAAGGGACACCCTTCGGTGATTATTGTCACCCAGCTGTAGATTTTCCTCCCAGATGTCACAGCATACAAGAGATTCTGTGCCAGCTGTAGAATTGGTATTGGCTATGACACTGAATGGCTTCCATAGCATGACTAAGGCATAAAGACGTACTGAGATACTATGTCGAGTGTTCACTTACCAAATATTTAAGTTACATCAATAGTTTATAGTTGAATCCTGTTAGCATTGAGGAAGCCAAATGGAACATTTTAGAGTTGATTGAGATGAGAAATTAAAGGAAAGCAAGCCAAAAATGTTTTATGTGCCATGCTTTATTTACTTGTTTAGTCACCAATTTCTTTATTATGAATGCTATGAAGGAAATATCATTAAACGTTTTATTTAGATATTATTTATCAATCATCAGTTCTATACCCAAATTAAAATTGTGATCTGTGAGTTCTTTGTTACATCAATGTACGTCAAACATAATCAAAAAAGGAACCCCACCTGAGAATTCCTGTTAGATTTTGTGTGCAGCACACTCATATGATTGTTCTGATATCTACACACGTAACTCTGACTACTCTTAGTAATTGATGTACCAAACCCACTCTGGAAAATTATGATGGCAGGATAAGTTAATAACTCTAAAACTTCTTGATAACTTCTTGTCATCCTCACAAATTCAACCTGTTTGTTATTATTGACTCATCTTTTTTATAGATGCAAGATTCCTAGATTAGATCAGATCGTAATCAGCAAGAATATGCCTTATGGATGTAGTCAAGCCTTTTGATACACAAGCAATTTATTAACAAAGACAAAATACTTTCATCTAGAAGGTAAGCTCCTACTTATTGATATCTTAAGGTAGTTATGCATTTCACAAAAAGGACTACGAGCTTGGGGAAATGTCATCAAAGCAAGTTCAAGGACGGTATTTCCATTCGATTTTCTGTCGATATCTCAAAAACTGATAGATTGAGTTCAAATTAAAAATTTTCATAAAAGTGTAATAATCATTCTACCATGATGTGTAAATGCATGATAAACACTTGTAGTGTTTCAGGGTTGCCAAGGCTGTTTTCTGGTTCAAAATAAAGTATGAGTGACCTGTCTATATTTTCCTGCTTTCATCAAGAGTCTCATCGATAAAAATCATTTAAAATATCACCTACATGAATTTGGATTTCCAACTCTTCTCCAAGTTTCTCATCAACATTGGATTACCTACAATTCATTTTTGATTTACTTAGCCCTAAATACAGCAAGGATTTCCACAAAAAAACTGAAGAGATGCACATGTACCCCAGCCTTTCAGTAGGTGATGTAGGTTCGAACCTAAAGCGAACCTAAAAGTGAATCCCACAATTTGATGGCTACCTAAACGAACCTACTTCATGTAGGTTCGCTTTAGGTTCGAACCTAAAACTACCTAAAGCACTTTAAAAAAATCAGAAACTTGTAGGTAGTTTTAGGTTCGAACCTAAGGCGAACCTAAAAATGTTATACTTTTTCAGGATTTACCTAAACCGAACCAAAAAATCTTAGAAATTATCTAGAGTTACCTAAAACTACCTAAAACACTTAAAAAATCGAAAAGTTGTGGGTAGTTTTAGGTTCGAACCCAAAGCGAACCTAAAAAACATAGTCATTCTTCAAGAGTTACCTAAAGCGAACCTAAAAATCTTAAATCTACCTAAAACACTTCAAACTTGTAGGTAGTTTTAGGTTCGAACCCAAAGCTACCTAAAGCTACCTAAAGCAAACCTACAAAACAGAAGTTCTGTCACAGCCACTAGGGGCGCTGATAGCAGGAAGTATCAATGCATTGTGGGTATAATATTCAAACTAAAATCAGTTAGACAGGAAATTTGGAAATAGCCAGGAAAATGGGGAAATATGCTGAAATGACCATCACATCAGTGCTCATTTACAAAGTACATGTAAGTAAGTGTACAAATGATCAATCAATATATTATTTTAACCTCTTGAATACCCAGATTGACGGATATATCTGTCACAGAATTTTTCACTAAAACTGTTCTAACTTTGGCAATTTTTATCCAATCTTCACAAATGATGTTTTAAAATGAATGGGTCTATGTTTACTATTCTTATGAAATCAAACATCAACTGTTGTGTTTTTAGATGTAAATATCAAAAAAACTGGCAAAAAATAAACAATACTCTGGTTTCAAACCCTTTTTAGAGGCTGGTATTCAAGAGGTTAAGTGTTATAAAAGCATGCAATTATAAAATAGGAGGAATTTTAA